TAGAATCGATTTCATGGACGCGGGTTCACAAGATGGATATTCTTCAAGAAATCATGGGTTTGCGGAGGGGCGGAAATGCCGGATAAACCCCTGAAATTTAATTCAACTGACAACCATTGAAACCATCCCCACAATCAGATTGGCGATGGGCTCAACGCTGCCGACGGGGCCAAGGAGGTGCACGAACCCGGCAGGTCGAACGACGGTCTAGGACGCCAAGAAGGAACCAACAACCGAGCACACGTTCGAGAGCCACACGTACGCACAGAGTACGTCATCCTTGTCTTCCTCGACAAGATCTCAATGAAGGCGACGACCGACATATACTTCCCCGACCGCGACGCCAAAGGACGCGAGTTGGTTCGAGCGACGATCTCGTCGTGGGGCCAACATGCGTCGCTCGAGCATCACGTTCTTCGCAGCCCATCATGTACCGGCATCCCCGCAACTACCGGCCGCATTGCAAAGTACTGGCGAACGAGGTCGAGGGCCAGATCGTGGCCTGGGTCCTGGAGATGCGTAGCGACGGCGTTCCCGTGACGCACCTCATGGTGCACTTGAAGGCGAAAGAGGTCGCGTCCGACCACGTTTTGTATCTTTCACATAGATTTGCTTTTTGTACGGGAGCGCATTTGCAAAACACAGCGAAACACTTAGCTCGTGCAGTCGAGGTTCTCCGGTTGAGTCCCCTCGGAACTTGATACCGGCCCTGTTTTTGCTCTGCTGATGATCGCGACCCAAAACCACCCATATCACGATTAACTTGATTTCACTATGACCTCACAGTGGTATCGGGAGGAAGGACGCCACATTTTCGTCAAATTCGGATGTCGCACAGCGTCCATGAAATCGATTCTAGGGTACATGTGCTTAACTGTGGTCAATGATTTCTTCTTGGCCCATGCAGGAAGATCGATCGAACACGCGGTCTTCGAAGGACCGCTCGCGGCTGCAGCCCTTGGAGAGAGGAGGCACATTGACGTGGTATAATGGATGATGCTATTACAATGGTCTACTAATACTTGATGCGCTTGGGCTTCTTCTTTTTCGCGTCGGCCGGCGCCGC